CTGCAACAACAGTACAAAATCGCCCACCAATTTGAAATATATGAGACCCTGTAACTCAAGACCGAATTCTAATACCACGCCTACATTTTGAAGTGTAAAATGAGTGAGATGATAAATCAGTAAAGTGCTTCAGCTTCAACTGGGCTCTCTAGTACAGAGTCCAAAATCACTCACTTCACTACAAAAATTACATTTGTGGATAAAGATGGGGGGAGACAATAAGTGGGACTGTATCTTGCAACACGGGTGGTTAATACAATGCTTTATGAAATGCTTTGTGCCTCATGTACACACACTGCCATCACAACAACAGTGATATAAAGGGTGAAAAACCCATTTTGAAAAAAAAAATGAATAAAATAAAGAGAGATCACTTTTTCCTCTGTTTTCATATTTCTGTCCAAGTGTTTTTCTTATTTTGCACTCTCACTGTTGATGACAATTTAATCAAGCAACTGTGTTTGCTATGTCTATCACATTACTTTTTTTTGTTTATTTACTATGTAAGTCTCATCTAGATTCAAAAAGTAAAAAGGGGGTTTGGTATACCTTCATTCCATTTTGAACGGGTATTTACAGATGTTTTGGGGTTTGCTTTTCTCTCAATACAAATTGCTTTCTTCAAAGGGGGCACCCAATCGGGAATTGTTTACACTGATCAAATGTTTACAACCTAGTCAATACAAAGTGAGCTAGGCATTATAAACAGTACAGGGGTCCCAAATATGAACCGAATTACAACCCTTTGGTCTTTTAATTTAAACAAAAAAGTTATTCTCACACAAACCTATTTTCCCACAAAAACCCTTTTCGCAATTAGGGATCAGGGGTTTAAAAAACGTGCTATGCCCAGTTTTTGGGTGGATCTTGGATTCAGACGTTCGAAAGGTGGGGCCCTTTGGGTAGCAACGTGTAAAAAACTTTTATTGCAAAGAGATATTTTTTATCTAAAAATAAGAAAGTAAACTGAATAAAAAAATTATTCACACAGTGGGTCTTGAACCCAAAAATTAGAAATTGATAGGTGATGCCTTTTTTGGAATTTTTAAAAAATAAATAAAATTTTATGAACTGAAGAATAATGATTTTATCAAGCGTAATAAAAAAAAAAAAAATAAAAAAAATTAAAAATAATAATAATAATAAAAAATAATAATAATAAAAAATAAAAATAATCATAAAATAATAATAAAAAAAAAACGATGTACAAAAAATATTTGCTCAAAAAATTTTATTTAATAAATACGGGGAAAAACTCAGGAGGGTTATAAAAATTTTTACAAAAGAAAATTTATAGCAAAATAAATTATTTCCATTTGCAAAAAATTTTACCTACACGCAAAAAATTTTTGGAACAAAATTCATCTTTTTTTTTTTCCTATCAAATTACACAATTTTGGGAAAAATAAAAAATAAATTCCCGCAAAAAAATAAACCCAGAGACAGGGAAAAGGGAAGTTGATGAGTTTGTGTCCATTTCCCGGGGCCATGTAATTGACAACCATACAGTGGTCCCGGGCACACCAATCATCCTGGGCCGTGTAAGTGAAAAAACCCTGACAGTGGCCAGGGGCACACCAAGTCATCCTGGACCAGGAAAGTGACAACCATGACAGGGTCCAGGGCCACCATCATCCTGGCCAGTGTCAAGTGCAACCATGACAGTGGCCAGGGCACACCAAGTCATCCTGGGGCCTGTCAAGTGCAACCAACAGGGCCAGGGCACACCCAAGTCATCCTGGACCAGTGCAAGTGCAACCATGACGTGGTCCAGGGCACACCGAGTCATCCTGGACCGTGTCAAATGACAACCATGACAGGGCCAGGGGCACACCAGAGTCTCCTGGACCAGTTTCAAGTGAAACCTGACAGTGGGCCCGGACACACCAAGTAAAACCGGGCCATGTCAATGATAACCCTCAGGGTCCAGGACACACCAGAGCTCCTGGACCAGTGCAAATGCAAAACCCTGACAGTGGTCCAGGACACACCAAGCACCTGGGCCAGTGCAAGTGATAACCATGACAGTGGCCCGACACACCAGAGTCACCCGGAACAGTGTCAAGTGACAACCCGACAGTGGTCCAGGACACACCGAGTCACCGGACCATGTCAAGTGATAACCATGACATGGTCGGACACACCACAGGTCCCTCCTGGCCAGGCAAGTGACAACCATGACAGTGGTCCAGGGCACACCACAGTGTCATCCTGGACCCCGTGTCAAGGACAAACCAACGGGCCAGGGCACACCCGGGCACCAGGGCCATGTCAAGTGACAAAACCCTGACAGGGCCAGGCACACCAGTGTATCCGGGCCCGTGTCAAGGACAACCATGACATGGTCCAGGACACACCACAGGTCAAACCTGGACCCTGTCAAGTGACAAAATATGAAGTGGTCCAGGGCCACCACAGTGTCACCGACCATGTCAACTGATAACCCTGACAGTGGTCCCGGACACACCACAGTGTCATCCTGGACCAGTGTCAATGACAACCAAACGTGGTCCAGGGCCAAAAACCACAGTGTCCCCCTGGACCAGTGTCAAGTGACAAACCATGACAGTGGGCCAAAAGGACACACCCCCCAGTGTCATCCTGGACCAGAGTCAAGTGACAACCCGACATGGTCCCGGACACACCACAGTGGGCACCTGGACCAGGTTTAAGTGACAACCATGACAGAGGTCCAGGCAACCACAGTGTCATCCTGGACCCGTCAAGTGACAACCATGACAGTGGTCCCGGACACACCAGATCACCTGGACCAGTGTCAAGTGACAACCTTTACAGTGGCCCCGGGCCCCCAAACCCTGTTTATCCAGGGGCCAGTGTCAAGTGTAAACCCTGCAGTGGCCAGGGGAAACCACATTCTCCAGGACCGTGCAATGACAAACCCGGACAGTGGCCCAGACACACCCGTGCATCCAGGGGCCATGTCAAGTTTTCAAAAAAACCCTGACATGGCCAGGGCCACCATGTCATCCGGACCAGTGTCAATGACAGTGGTCCCGGAAACCCCCAGTGTCATCCTGGACCTGCAAATACAACCATGACAGTGGTCCAGACACCCAGAGTCATCCGGGGGGGCCATTCAAGTGACGTGGGGGAAGGGGCACACCAGTGCACCAGGACCAGTTCAAGTGACAACCATGACAGTGACCCGGACACACCACATGTCACCTGACCAGTGTCAAGTGACAACCATGACAGTAGTCCGGACACACCACAGTGTCATCCGGACCCTGTCAAGTGATAACCATACGTGGGCCAGGACACACCAGTTCATCCTGGACCAAGGGCAAGTACAACCATGACAGTGGCCCGGAAAACCATGTCATCCTGGGCCAGTGCAAGTGATAACCCTACAGTGGTCCAGGACACACCACAGTGTCACATGGACCAGTGTCAAGTGATAAAACCCTGCAGTGGTCCAGGACACAAAAAGTGCATCCTGGACCAGTGTCAATATAAAACCTGACAGTGGTCCAGGACACACACAGGTCACCGGACCATGTCAATTGACAACCAGACATGGTCCAGGACACACCATGTCATCCTGGACCAGTGTCAAGTGTAACCATGACGTGGTCCCGGGCACACCCTGTCATCCCGGACCCCGGGTCAAAAGATAACCCTGACAGGGCCAGGACACACCATGTCATCCGGACCATTCAAATGAAACCTGACAGGGCCCAAAACACCCGTGTCATCCTGGACCAGTGTCAAGTGATAACCATGACAGTGGGGCCCGGACACCCCAGTGTCATCCCGACCAGTTCAAGTGATAAACCCTACAGGGTCCCGGACACACCCCAAGTCATCCTGGACCCGTAACAAGTGCAGCCATGACAGTGGTCCCGGACACCCACGTGTCATCCTGGACCATGTCAAGGACAACCCTGACATGGTCCAGGGCACACCAGACATCCTGGACCAGGTCAAGTGACACCATGACAGTGGCCAGGACACACCCCGATCACCTGACCAGTGCAAGTGACAGCCTGACAGTTGTCCAGGGCACACCACAGTGTCATCCTCGACCATGTCAAGTGCAACCCTGACGTGGTCCAGGGGCACACCAAAGTCATCCTGGGCCAGTGCAATGACAACTGTGACAGGGGGCCAGGGAAAACCACAGTGTCATCCAGGACCCGTGTCAAGTGTAACCAAGGGCAGGGCCGGACACACCAGGCATCCAGGACCAGTGCAAGTGATAAAAATGACAGGGGCCAGGCCCCCACAGGTCTCCTGGGGCCCTGTCAATGACAAATGTACAGGGGTCCAGGACACACACCAGGTACCCGGACCATGTCAAAGTGACAAACATACAGGGGCCAGGAACACCAGTGCATCCTGGGCCAGTGTCCAATGACAAACATACATGGTCCAGGACACACAACAGGTCATCCTGTACCAGTGCCCCCGGACAAACAGACAAATTCCAGGACACACCACAGTGTCATCCTGGACCAGTGTCAAGTGACAAACATGAAAGTGGTCCAGGACACACCACAGTGTCATCCTGGACCAGTGTCAAGTGACAACCATGACAGTGGTCCAGGACACACCACAGTGTCATCCTGGACCAGTGTCAAATGACAAAATAAAAATGGTCCAGACACACCAAAAGGGCATCCTGGCCCCCTGTCAATGACAAATAACAGTGGTCCAGGACACACAAAAGTGTCATCCTGGACCAGTGTCAAGGGGAAACATGACGGGTCCAGGGCCACAACAGTGTCATCCGGACCAGTGTCACGTGGCAAACATGACAGTGGTCCAGGACACACCCATGTCATCCTGGACCAGTGTCAAGTGACAAACATGACAGTGGTCCAGGACACACCACAGTGTCATCCTGGACCAGTGTCAAGTGACAAACATGACAGTGGTCCAGGACACACCATGTTTCCCCCCGGGCCCTTTCAAGTGACAAACATGACAGTGGTCCAGGCACACAACAGTGTCATCCTGGACCAGTGTCAAGTGACAAA